TAACAGACAAATGAAGCAAGCCCAAGCTTTCCACCAAAAAGAATAAAAATCCCATTGTTGAAGAAATGTTAACATCAAGATTTTTTACTTGGAACTAAAGAAACAGTGATTATACTGCACCATTTTATAAGCAAAAAGAATACCATATTAACATTAGAAACTTCCAAAACCTTTGGCTTCCTTTATCATTTTCTACCTTTAAATTGAAGGGACTCTGGCGTGATGAGATGGATCCCTGGCGGGGAGTGAAAAAAGTGGGCTTATCATCAAGCCACATGTGCTCACTCTGAGCTCCAATCATCTGCAAGGCCAAGGACCGGAAGTGCACTTGCCAGGCATTTTATAAAGTGGAACAGCCACTGTTTCTGCAGGACAAGGGCCCCCCATCTTTGCACAGGAGCAAACAGGAGAAACCAGGACACAGTCAAAGCCCAGGGACTGCAACATCAGCCTTGTAACCGCTTACTGGGCGTTACTTACCTGTGCCACTGCTGCGCCAGTGCACAAAATACACAAGGAGAAGGGGGGTAAGACCTTGTGTTAATGAGCAAGCCTTTAAAAATAAAATCAAGTCTTTTTCACCTGAAAGGTCTGTAGCAAGTTTGGGTCAGATTACAGTTTAGATCTGAAAGTAAAACAACAGTCTACAGCAAATGTCCACCCACTTTTGGTAGTATACTTTTAAGGATGGAGGTGATGTGGTCCGTCTTTGACAGCTGTGGCTGTGTGCATTGCTCACTTTTCCTTACAGGTTAGGAGCCCACAAGTCAGCTTACCATCCTTAAATTCAAACAACAAAAAAGTCAGACAATACATTAAAAAATGAAATTTTACCTCAAAACATCCAAATCCAATAATGAAAATCTGAAATTCATTCTACCTCACTGAATTACAAGACAATTAGAATGACAGCCACAAAATGGCATGGGAAATGAAGTTTGCAGCCTGGAGGCAAAGCTACCAAGTAAGAAAGGTGGCAGTGTGCCCCAAATAACATTCCAATAGCCAGTCTCTGGTGCAAGGGCTCTCTCAGATGGACCCAGAAGTGTCCTTTTCCCTAAAGTCTCCTTTCAGTAACTGGCCCCTTATTGTCATTTCCGTTAAAGAACACAGCTCCTTGCTTTTCAGGAGAACTTTCAGGGACAACGACTCTGGATGGGATTCCCACTGGATGCGGGGGGTGCAGACTCCTGGACAGGGACGTGCCGGCCCTGAAGAGGCATCAGGACCCTGATGGGGACTTGCACTTTCGCTCCCATGTGGATTTGGGGCCCATGGGAGCCAGGCAGGACCCATTGTGGCTGCAGCGCCACAGGCCGGCCAGCTGGGCCGCCGCCCCGCGGAGGCCCTCTCTGCTGTGCGCACCGGGTGTTGTAGCTGGCACCGGACCTGTAGACGGAGGCCGCGCTGGAGACCCGAGCGGCTTGGGCGCCCTGTGCACGCGCAGGTGGCGGGCTGCTGGAGGGCCCCGTGCAGGCGTACTGGCGGGCCCTGGACGTCCTGTCTGTGGGTGGGAAGCAGAGGAAGGCGGCCCGATCGCCTTGGAGTAGGGACCCGCGGGCTGTACTCGTCCGCGATGCCCCGTATTTCTCGTAAGACGGCCACGCGAGTCAGGCGAGCGCGGCGGCAGGTTGTCTTCCTTGAGGAGGTCATGCGGTCCACGAGTTGAACCAAGGCGGCCTGGAGCTCGCGTCTCTGGGGACGCCCGCCGCGACATCCTCTTCTGGCCAGGTGGGGGTCCCTGTGGGACGAGGGGAAGGCACACACGAGGGGAGGCGCGACCAGCCTGCAGCCGGCAGCACACTAGAGCCACAGGTAAAGCTACCAAGGTGCAGGTGGAAAGTAGTCTCCTGTACCCACAGAGGGATTCCTCTTGGTACGCTGACTCCAAATGCCAGGCCCCAGCTTGCAAGGATCTTGGCTTCTTTCTTGTTTAAAAAAAAAAAAAAAAACAAAAAACCAAACAGAGTCTCTTCTTATTTTAGTAATTAGCCAGGTTATATAGTGTGCACCTGTAGTGGAAGCTGAGCAGGAGGATTGCCTGAGCCCAGGGGTTGGAGGTTGCTGTGAGCTAGGCTGACACCATGGTACTCTAGCCTGGGCAACAGAGCAAGACTCTGTCTCAAAAAATAAAAATAATAAATCAGCATAAAACAGACTAAGATGATCCTCTCTGGACTTGCCTCTCTGCCTTTACTCTCCTAAGCTGCTCACCTAAACTCTCCCTTATCCTGATCCAGTCTTTTCTAAAGGCCATGCAGAACCATATTCCCAGGAGGTCTCCAAAGAGACCAATCAAGATAAAATGATAATTACTGTTAATTAAGTGTTTAATACGTGGTACTCACTCTTAAAAGATGATTTGCATCGATTAGCGAATATATTCTTTACAGCAATCTGTGAAGTGAGCCTAATATACCCATTTGACAGTGAGGAATTTCGTGATCAGAGAGAAAAACTAATTTGCTGCAGTCCCCATCACTTGTAGTGAATGACAGAACTAGGCTTTAAACCTAGGCCTACTTGATGACAAACCTGTTCTTTCTACCACAACAACGCTCTGCTCCTGGAGACCACCAGACAGTTCACATCTGGATGAACATATAGATGGGGCAAAGCTTGTTTCTTTACTCTAACACAGAGAACAACAATAAAACCTAGAAAGGATCATGAAACTCCTCAACCATCCAACATCTAGTTTATTTTTTATGGCTCTCACTCGTATGAAGTCAGCTGGGATCTTTAGCAACACAACATCACAAGGGACACTGCGTTATCTTACGGTTAATATTCTGATTGGACCAAGAGAATAGAAAGTAACAAATTGCAGGTGACTTGGTGACACACATATATACCAAGAGATAAAAGAGAAATATGATTGGAATATAAGTTCTTGCTAAATCAGTGAAGTTCCTTTTATCCTGGTGTTTGGCCTACATTGGGGTATCTCCTTCAAAGTGAAGGATAAATTGGTGAACACTTCAATGCTTCAAATACTAAGAAAGAGTCACAAAGTTTCCTGGGCCTCATTGGAGTTTGAAGGCAGCACCTACCATTTACCAGGTAAACCAAAAGCTGCCTGTTCCGGGTTGGGCCCAGAGAAGGAAAACGAATTTATACCACGTGAAGACAGTAATAAAAGCTACTATGTGCCTTAAAACCCAGCTGGTCCAGCTGTGGTTAATCATGTGTGACAGATTGGGATGCTCTTGACTGCACTCTGGAATCACCTGATTCCATCCCACCTGAGGACTTTTTTTAAAAGTAGTACTGATGTGTAGGTGGCACTTCCAGAAACACTGATTTAATTGGTTGAGAACCATCAACCTATAGAGATCAGTGTTTCCCTAACTTTGCTGTAGATTGGAATCACCTGGAGAGGTTGTTAAACCAGATTGCTGGGTCCTATCCTACAGTGTCTAATTCAATAGGTCTGGGAGGGGAGGCCCTAAGACTGGCTTTTCTTAACTAGTTCCCAGGTAACACTGATTCTGCTGTTCAGAGAAGGGAGCCACACTTGGAGAAGCCCTGATGGAGACCACATCAAGCTCCCATAAGAGAGTCACAGTGGAGTCTTCTACATCCTTGCTATACCAAGAATGGTTCATAACCAGCATCATTGGCAATACCTGAGATGTTACTCAACATCCAGGATCTCACACCCCAGACCCACCACACAAAAGGAGAATCTGCCTTTTAGCACGATCCCAAGATGATTTAAATGTACACTAAGGATTCAGAACCACTATTCTGGGGTTTTGAAGGCCACCCTCAGCTCTCATAGTGATCATTATGAAACATAAAAGGGTGTGACTGGTTTGCTCAGTTGGTTGATGATATTTCTAATGTCATTCTTCTACGTGGGTCTATGTCCTCCATGTACTAAGCAACAGTGGTCTTCTACGTGCCAGAGTACAGGGAAGATGTGTTGACATCAATGACAAATCTGAATTTCTTCAACTGGACCAAAATTGTTCCCAGGTTTTAACATTTTTAACATATAAGGAGCCCCTGATTCTAACACCATATGTTGGTCCCATGTGTAAGATAGGATTACAAACATTTTTACCCCAAATCTTTAAACTTTAGCTGTGCCTGGGTCTAACATTTTTCCTGCCAAAAGTGGTGATGCTCCCCCATCTCCAGGGCCTTTTCCCCAGCAGGTATTCAACAAATGCACCTCCCCTCACTTGGCCACCTGCTGAAAAGGAGTGGTATATCTATGCCATGGACATCCTGATTTGCCATTTCTTAGGCCTGCTCTGTGTGTGTCTTTGGATTCCATGTAGATTTTTATTTGGAAATTATTTAAATTTTTTTCAGGATCAAAGGAAATATCATTATTGTAAAACTGAGATTCTGGATGCCAAATTCCACAGATGCTATGGTTTTTAATTAATAAGCACCAGAGTCCTGAGTCCCAGGATATAGCTGAAGTTGCTGGAGGTATATGTGAAATCTCTACCATACAAAATATAACCACTAACTAGTGTACCAACAAAAGGGGGGATGGATATCTGTCACTGACCACCATTAATTCCAACTTGTACTGTTGAAACTACTAGGAGTGTGAACTTTCTCCCATCTGGCCAGTTCATTCAGCTATTGAATGCTGGATTCAGCCATTTCTGCTGAAAAGACATGAGACTGTGAAAATTGATGATTTAGTCAAAAATAATAGTGAAGACAGATATGATTGAAAGAATAGTTTTATTCGATTGGCCCCAATGTAACCCCATTGTCATCAGATAATGGACTCCAAAATGTCATTTTCCCATTGCTAGTAAACCTCAGTTTGTTAATGTCTTACTAAGGGAATACATTTTGATTGGAAATAATTATTTGAAACCTAAACACGAAATTATTTTTTTTAAAAAACATACACACTAGTACAGTCTGAAATGTTAACCTCCTTTTCGCTTATATTGAAATCCAATAAAAGAAAATAATAAAGAAATAGTTTGAAATTTTAAATTCCATCAATGTAAAGCATGATCACCTTAATATCTTTTTCATAAATTTAATAAACAAACAATGACGTTTGGTGACAAAAAGACAATTTTCCATGAAGATGAAATCCTGATTCTACATGAATGTATTTCAAGAGTCAGAAAGTAGTTTACCCTTTTGGACTCAACCTCAAAATGAAGCAGCATGCATTTACGGTCTGGGTCTATATGTTCCATCAAAAATTGAGTTCAATCAGCACCATCCCTGAGCAATTTACAAATGTAACTCATGGAGCTGTCCAACCAACCAAAGGTGGTATGTGCTATCCCCAGGTTAAGCTGAGAAACTGAGACATCGTTTAATTAAATGGTTTGTCAAGGTCACAAAAGGTGGTAATAGGTGAAGGTAGGATTCAAAATCATGCTGCATGGTTGCAGAGCTCATCATGGAAACAATTGTCTTCATTTACTAGGAATCTGGTCACATTGCTTTGACTCCAAGCTGAAGGTCCTTCAATAGAGAATTTTTGCCTTGCCAGGAAGAAGGAACTCTACATTCTCGGACTTTTAAGACTAATTTCTACTCTTATTGCATTCTAATTAAGAAGATTTGATTTTATTATTTGCTTTCATAATTCATTGATATTTCCTTTTCGCTCTAAAACATTGCTAATTTTGCAAATGGCCCACTGACACTTGAAAAAACGGGTATTCTCTATGACCAGGTACATAAATTCTACCTTACTGTTAATGCCTCAGCTCCTTCTTACACTCTTGCGCTTTGAATTCCTTGAGTAATCACATTCACACACGCACCACCCTCCCACATGAAATCATTATAACACATATTTCATCAATTAATTATACTTATATCTCAATAAAGTGATTCCATAGGATAAAGATAAAAGAATGGGCAAAACTCTGCAAAGGTAAATGGAAACAATCAGAAAACAAGAGTCATGGATGTCAGTATTAGGCACACTTGAATTGGAATGAAATATACTTAGAAGAGCTCTTTATAATACTACATACTAAATTTCCTAATAAAAATAGACCAGTCATGAATATTCATGCAATTCATTAGATTTAAAACACACTAGATTTAAGATAAGTTAAAAGAAACGCATGAAAAATAGGGCAACTAAAATCACCTTTTTTGGTCCAAGACAGAAAATAGACATCATAAATAGATTAAAGAATTAAACAAAGCATTAAAC